AAGAAAAACCTGCAGCATCCTTATAGGCTCGACAGTGCTATGCTGGCTACCACTACGGAAGAAAGAGACTTGGGGGTCGTCATTGACCACAAGACAAACATGAGCCTGCAATGTGATGCTGTGGCTAGTAAAGCGACCAAAACGCTGGCTTGCAACCATAGATGCTTCTCAAGCAAATCCTGGGACGTCATTCTCCCCTTGTACTGGGCCTTGGTAAGGTCGCAGCTGGAGTACTGCGTCCAATTTTGGGCTCCACAATTCAAAAAGGATGTGGAGAAGCTTGACAGTCCAGAGAAGAGCCACCCACATGATCAGAGGTCAGGAAAACGGACCTTACGACGACAGGCTGAGAGCCATGGGGCTCTTTAGCCTGGAAAAGTGCAGGCTCAGGGGTGATCTGATGACCACCTATAAGTTTATCGACGTGACCACCAGTATCTGGGGGAAAGTTTGCTCACCAGAGCACCCCAAGGGATGACGAGGTTGAACCCTCATAAACTACTGCAAGACTGTTTCAGGCTGGACATAAGGAAGAATTTCTTTACTGTCCGAGCCCCCAAGGTCTGGAACAGCCTGCCATAGGAAGCACCTACATTGAACACCTTCAAGAGCAAACTGGATGCTTATCTTGCTGGGATCCTATGACCCCAGCTGACTTCCTGCCCTTTGGGCAGGGGGCTGGACTCAATCTTCCGAGGTCCCTTCCAGCCCTACTGTCTATGAAATCTGTGAAAGTCTAGGAGGTGTTTCAAGCTATGTATCCAAATGTCACAGATACCCAACTCAGGGCTGTAGGGAGGCATCCAAGTCCAGAAAAGTAGGATTTCAGAGAGACAAAACTCTCTCTCAGATCTCCTGCTAGCTTATTATACCCTTGCTCAGCATACTAGTTGTTGCCAGTCCCATCACTAGGTACCTAAGCCACATTATGCATCTCATCAGGAATTATGCAACTTAAATTAAGGTCATTTATTTCACTGTGGAAGCTAAGTGAAGTTTATGTGGTTCTGGCCTGTATTCTTTTCTAGGAAGCAGAATGTTCCCTTTATGTGCAAAGTATGCAGATAAAAGTGGTAAGAGAAATTCAGGCCAACGGAAATGGGACCATTTTGCACAAGAAACTAAAGAAGATGAATTTGCAACCTTTGCTTTGCAAACTACCATGTGAGCTGGAGTGGCTATTTCAGGATTGAAAATTTTATTGTTTCAGAGAGTCACCATTTTCAATGCAAATGCCTTACAAAAGTTAAAATACCTTGTCTTTGCAGTTATTTTTACTGAAGTAACGTTGACCCAATATGTCAACCTGTGATAACTGGCATTAAATCCCTATCCTTTAATATTTTTTTTAACTGAATCCCTAATGAGCTTTTCCATTATTTTACCCAGAACTGATGGCAAGCTTACCATTGCGCTATATCTATTTAGGTCACGAGGGGTGCACTGATAAAGGGTGTTTTTGACCAATGCCAATGGCTAATTCTTAACCAGCCATATTGGCTGATACCGATCTGATAACAAATATGCAAACCAGCAGCTTGGAGAGCAGTGTCCAGCAGGTAAGTCTGTGGTGGAAAGAATACAGGCAAGGGAAGGGGTGTGTGGGGGCGGTGTAGATCAAAGCCCTCACGGTAAGGGAGGGTGTGGGGCTGGGGCTGGGGCAGGGACTACCCAGCCAGTGCACAGCAGGGTGCGGGACAGAGCCACCGGTGGCTCATCGGGGGGTGCTGGGAGTAGGGTGGCTCCCTGCTGCTGCACATACCCCCTAGGGGAGGCATGGGGGGGCATGTGCCCCCCCAGATGTGTGTGGGGTGAGGATGGGCTGCCTGCTGTGGGCTTGGGGCCAGGGGCTATGTAGGCCTCTTCCCAGTGGGGACTGAGCCTGGGCTGTGGGGGGGGGGGGGGGGGGGAGGGGGGGGGGGGGGGGGGGGGGGGGGGTGAGGA